TAAAAAAATATACATGTGTGTGTGTGTGTGTGCGTGTGTGTGTATGTGTGTGCGCGCGCGTGTGAGCGTGTGTGTATGCGTGCGTGTGGGTGGGTGAGTGGGTGCGTGTGTGTGCTCGTGTATGCATTTGTGTGTTCGTGTGTGCGCGCGTGTATGCGTGTGTGTGCGTGTGTGTATGCGTGTCAATGCGTGTGTGCGAGTGTGTGCATGTGTGTGCGTGTGTGTGCGTGTGTGTGCGTGTGTGTGTGATATGTTTACCCACATTTTGCAATTCTTGGAAGATGACATTAATACCGTGTCATCAACACTCCGAAAATCCTTTCTGGCGCATCTTTCGGTAGAGAATGGCGGGCATGCTACTCCATCTATTGCCACCTCCAGCTACTACGAACAGTCTATCTCAAGCCTTGCCGTGAGACCTCGCCACTGGGGAGGCTCTTACCATCAGCGGGACAATGGTTTTGCACAATGTTGTTTTTTGGAGACAAAGAAGAAAACAGAAAGGATACATGCGTTAGTGTGTATGAGGCTATGAGCTCCTTTGTCCGGTCCCATGTCTCTATCTGGGCCCTATTTCGGCCTAGGCGCCCGCAACCCCTCTTCCCCAACCTCTTGGGTTCCCCAGAAGAAAACTCCGGGGCCCGTAAGGCCTGTAGGCCCCCCTTTTTTTAATACTTTGGCCAATGATCTTGAAGATTAACAACGCAGATCTAGGATATGTGTGTCTGATTTGTGTATGTTTGATGTATGTGTGTGTCTGTGTGTACTGATGCGTGTGGGTTTGTGCGGTTGTGTGACGTATGTGGGATGTGTATGTGATGTATGTCTGATGTATACGTGATGTATGATTTTGTTGGGATTGTACAATTCCAATTTACTTTGTAGTTGGATTCGGGTGTGATCTCATCTCAAACAGTGGGTAAGTGAGATGACGGGTGGAAGTATTTGAGATTCTTGAAGTTTGTAACAGTGTGCACGCAAGGAGGGGACAAATGTCTTCCCCACAACTACACTGGAGCCACTATACACAAAAAAGGCGTAAGCACGTTTCAGTCAGACTGGGTTCGCCTGTAAACGACTGGGCAAAAAGAGGGCAGAAAATGAATTTCATTAGCGCCTTGTATGGAAGGGATAAAGGGTGGGCAAAGGGGAAGAGGGAGGCCAATTTATATCTGCGCTCTTTGAATGCTAATGGCCTCGCCCCAGCCTCCCCTTCAAAAAAACAAGCCATATGGGAGCAGATTAGGGGAGTAGAAGGCAAAGATTGACCGGTTATAGTTTGCGTCCAAGAAACCCACTTCATGGACACAGCAGAACACCACCGAGCCCACAAGGAGATTTGGCCCTATCGGGCCTTTTGCAGCCACGCGCCGCGCCCGGGAAGCGCGGGAGTGGCTATCTGGCTCCCCTCGGATATGCGAATTGACCCGCTCAACTGGGCAGTTGATTCCGAGGAAGGAAGATGGGTGCATCTTGCCATGTTGGAGATAGAGGTAGTAGCTATCTTTTGCGTATATGCTCCAAATGAGGCAGGAACAAGAGTGACATTTTTCGAATCAATTAAATAAAGCATCCCGCAGGGCATCTCGATCATACTGGCAGGAGGCTTTAATGCAACCCCGGATCCTTGGCTGGACAGGTGGAAAATCCCTTCCCCGTGTCCTACGTATAACAAAACAAATGAACTCTTAGTAACGAACCTTTGTAAGTCAATAAGGTTGTATGATACCTTTTGCAGATCGTACCTAGCAAAACATATTTTTTCATGTTTTCGAAAAAATGGGTCGCCAAGGATCTTCAGATCTCGCATTGACATGATACTTATCTCGGAAGATCTGGAGGGGGCACTGCAAATTGCAAACGTTTTTCCACAAAGCCCATACCCTGGGCTGGTGATTTTATCATTTCAGAAAAAAGTCCGATCAAGGGTCTGGCTATTACAAGTTGAACACACATTTGTTGGCACTTTCGAATTTTCAAATGCATATTAAAGAATCCTGGGCATACTGGCAGAATCACAGGCTGACGCTTGGTGATGCCGTTCAATGGTTTAATAACAAACTGATTTTTCTAGCCAAGAAATGTAATGAATTTCAAACGCGTTAGCATCCTAATGTTTTTTTGATGAAATGACATTACAACATCAGTTAAGTGAACTGAAAAAGATTGAAAAAAATAAAAATTGTGAGTCAGAAGAACTGATTAGTGTTATCCAATTATTAGAAATCGGGATCATAGCTAGCATGAAACACCGATGGCAGGGTGCACCTATAAGAGGAAAGTTACATAAGTATAAAACTGAGGGAGGAATGTGCTGCGATTTTTTGGCATGGCAAAGGCAAGAACAGGGAGAACTGTTATAGAGGCCTTAACCGATCCATCCCAAGAAAATGATCAGCTGGCTACCTCCATTCCACAATGTGTGCACATTGCATGAAGTTTCTTTCAGGATCTATTCAAATCAGGGTGTAAAACCCGGCTAAAAAAGCAGAGGATAAAAAAGATTGAGGATTTTCTTGAGCCTTTGAGGTGTAGCCTCTCAGATGAACAGAAAGAGACATTAGACAAACCCCTGAGAAAAACGAAAGTTTGGACAACACTTATGTAGATGGAGGAGGAAAAGACCCCAAGCATCGATGGACTGCCGAAGGGATTTTTGGAGTTTACGTGAAACCTCCTATCACATATCTCATGGACTACTACCACGCAGCATGGGAGTCGGGTCAAATGGGGGAGGTGGTGGGGCAAGGGGTGTTATCCCTCCTGTACAAGAAAGGTGGAAAAACCAATATTCGAAACTACCGACCTATCACCTTACTAACAATAATATACAAAATGGTGGTGAAGGCTTTTGCCAACCGGATGATTCAGGTGATGGAAGACATTATTCACCCATCACAAACATGTTTTATCAAGGGTAGGAAAATACAGGATAATATTCTCCTAATAAATGAGGTATCACGACAATCAAAGCACAACGCGGTCATAATCTTTATCGACTTTGAAAAAGTTTATAACCATGTTGACTGACTTTTTCTGGACAAATGTTTGAAGAAACTAAACTTTGGCCCTTCTTTCAGAAGATGGGTGACAATCCTCCATGGTAGAGCCACAACAATGGTGCAAGTAAATGGGAGGTTGCCCCCCCCCAATTGACTTGGAACGTTCGGTACGCCAAGGAGACTCGATTGCCCCTTTCTTGTTTGTTATAACCATGGAGGCTCTGGCAGCAAACTTAAGAGTACACAAGAAAATCCAGTGAATACGGGTCTCCTCAATCCCGGAAAAGGCAGTTCCGATTTACTCTCTGTTTACGGATGACCTCACTCTCATGCTTGATGCCTCACCTGAAAACATGAAGCAAATCCAATTGTTGATTGATCGTTTCTGCACCCTGTCGAATATGAAGGTAAACTGGGGCAGTAAGACCGAAGGATGATGGATCCACTACCAAGGGTGCAGGCCTCCAGAGGCCCCCCGAATAAGATGGGTACCCACCAACTCGCCTATTAAACAGCCATTTCGTCAAAACAGACACATTATATTTTTTGAATGAAATTAAAATTGAGTTTTTGGGCTGAAATCCTGTCCAAATTTTTGGCTTCGGGGGGTCCGGCATTCTAGGAACGCCGGACCCCAAGAGCCAAAAAATTGAACTTGATTTCGGCCCAAAAACTCAATTTTAATTTTGTTCAAAAAATATACTATGTCCGTTTTGACGAAATGGCTATTATTAGAGTCTTAGGGGTACAAATGACCGCCGAAGGCCGCCCGCCATCAAATGATGAATTGCTGACGCATCCGGTACTGGAAAAATTAACGCAGTGGAAGGACCAACATACATCTTTGATGGGAAAAACCTTGGTGATCAATAATATGATATTAGCTTCCCTTTGGCATAAGACAATCATCTGGTCACTTAGTAAGACAACACTGCATCCCCTCCAAAGAGAAGTGGCAACCTTCCTTTGGGGGGAAAATCATGAATATCAAAAGTGTAATTAGTACGGTCGCTTGGCGGTCGATCGTGCAACCTAAAACAAAAGGGGGTCTGGGGATCTTAGATCCGGCCACACAAATTATGACACTGGCTCAGCAATGGGTAAAGAGCCTGATTTTCGATTTTTACACCCCCTGAAGAGAATTAGCCCTGCAACAAATTAGACGGCTGGCCCCCTCGCCCCCGAGAGGACGGACCCGATAAGGTGGTTGGAGGTCAGAAACATGACTATATCGAAAAGGACGACAAAAGGTAATGAAGAGCAAGGATCCGATAGACAAGCGGAAAGAAGAAATATTAATAACGACGCTTTTTGGACCACACTGCTCAAG